CCTGACCTTTAAGTATTACCGAAGTGCGACCAGGTGACGCTCAGTTAGCTATGATCACGAGGTGAGGCGAGGCGACCACACATGCAGTGCGACTTGAGGTTTTTGACCACCACTTTATCAGCTCGCACGAGTAGTGCTGTCAAATAGGGCGACCTCAGGCACCCATTGATTTACGCAAAGGTTTGTGGCCTGGTGTGAGCTGCAATCCGTGTAACGACTTGACAAATGTGGTTGTTGTCACGATATGTGACGAGCTGAATCTAGAGGGATTTTAGTAAACGATCTACACTTGTGAACGATTTGGCGAATACGTCATCTTTGTAACGACCTGGTAAGTGTGCTCGCAATGGCGAGCTGATGTGACAGTATAGGGTATACATCAGTAGTTACGATCTGAATCTTTGGGATTTTTTGAGTCAAGCAATTCTTTTGAGTCAAGCAAATCTCTGAGGGGATACGATTGAACTTCCCATATCTTTCTGCCTTCCCCATCATAAATGTTGGCTCAGCATTCGAGGGACGTGACAACTAAAGCCGGCGCACGTTATGCAGGAGGGGCGTTAAGCGTCTGCCACGTGTAGGATGCTAGTTGGCGCGTCAGAAACACGCGTACGGCACTCAACACTACCATATCCTTCTCTGCGTAACCGTTTCCTTTTCCATTTTCATTTCTGTGTTTGCTTAAACTTTCCAAAATTCTCTGAAGCGAAACGCTCCAGCTTGAAGAATCAGCACGTCAAATCAACTTCGCATCTTTTTCAAGTAAAATGGTTTCATTGAGAGAACTTACAGAGCAACGAGGTAACCAGGGTAGAGAGGGAGAAGAGGAAGGGGTTTTGTCAGTGGAGCCTATCACGATGATAGTGCCGCCTGAGTTGCAGGACTCGCAGGAAACGATGGCGCCTGAGAGAAGCACCAGTTCGAGTGCGAGGGATGATGGTGGCGACCATGCTACTGCGTCGTCTAGCAGCTTGTCTACTGAAGAGACACCCAGCAGTGAAGAAGGGATCGGGGATGTGGTGAGCAGTGTCTCAGATCGGCCGGTGATTAGGGAATGGGAAGGCGTGACAATCCCGGGCAGGTTGAGTAACCTACGAAAAGCACCGAAGGACCTACCCGTTGGATTCAGGTTCAAGGCTGCACTTCATCACGAAGTAGCAGATTGTGCGCCCTCCATAAGTGGGTATAAACGACTGGAGGAGATGGTGAGGGCGTATCACATCCCCAAGACCATATTGCTGCGGACAGGCGGGCAGAACGAAAGAGCGTGCACAGTGTCGCGAACAGGCTGGATACCAGTGTACGCGGACCACTTTGACGCCGGCCTGCGATTTCCCCTACCGGGCCTGATATTCGATCTGCTCGTGGACTACGAGCTGGCGCTAATGCAGCTAACGCCCAATAGCATAAGGTTCATCATAGGCTTTATGCTGTTGTGTGCGAGATTGGAGGTACCAGCTAAAGCGATAGTGTTCAGGTCGCTATTCCAGTGCCGATTGTGTCTGAACTCAAGAGGAGCGAAGTGGTACTACCTCTCTGGGAGGGATAAGAGCCAGCTCTTAAAAAATGTGAGGAACAAGGTGGCGAGGTGAAAGAGACGGTTTATTTTTGTTCGCAACACACGAGCAGAAAGGATAAGCAACGACCTCGCTGTCTGGCTGTCTGAGTGGCGCACCCCCAATGCTCATATCAACTATCCTCAGCTACTGCCCCGGGATGTCGATCTGAAGAACCAGCTGCTCGAGTATGCGCAGAGGGAGGGTCTAATAGATCTAGAAACCCTGGTTACCTCGGAACATCTCGCCGTGTTTGGGTTTGTCGTTGTAACAAACCTATTTAGCGAAGGTAAATTTTTATCATATATTATGGATTCTAGCCGAGCTGAGGCTTATGTATTTGTTTGTGCAGGCGAAATGAGCAGCATCTTGGAACGCCAGCGTCAACGAGCCCAGAGTTCGCGAGGCCGTGGGGCGAGTAGCACCTCGCAGAGGCAAACGCGGTTCGACGAGCGGCCGCCTGCAGCGCCTCAATCGCGCAGCTCGTCACACCGAGGGTCTAGCTCGGCTTCTAGGCCACGGGCTGAGCATAGGGTTGAGGTGGCAGCTCCTAGTGCCCGTAGGCGTGCGCGCGAGGAGACGGAGAGCGAGGAAGACGAGGTCCCCCTTGCTCGGCGCAGACTAAGCGGGGGGACTCATACCGCGCAGGCGGCCCGTCCCACAACTGTGCGTTCACCCACTGCACCGCCAGCGACTGTGCGAGCAGCAGTAGAGCTCGCCTCTGCCTCGGCTTCACCATCGGGCCCCAAGATCGCTTATCCTGAGGGCTTTAGCTATGTGCGGGCGGAGTGTCAGCCCGCCATGGTGCAAGCCATGCGCAGCTTTGTGCCCCCGTCGGATAGTCGGCGGGCTAAGGCTTTTGTGCAGCAGCATGGCGGCCAGGTCGCCATGATCAAATTGATGGATGTGAGTATTTGTTCGTGCTTGCTTACGTGTTTTATTTTTCCTTACTAGATACTCACTATTGCTACTGTTTGGCTGGCATTCAGCTACGCTGTAGCGCTTAACGAGAGCGAGCAGGAGGCTCGTACGCAGAACAGCGATCTCGGTTCAAAATGCAAGCAACTGGCTGTTGAGAAGGCTAGCCTGGTGGACGACGTGAATCGTCTGCAAGGCTCAGAAATGGCGAACCGGGCAGCGGCTGCAGAGAGCCGGGCAGATAAGCTCACCAATAGAAACAACAAGCTCATGGAGGAATTGGAGCGCGCCCGTGCTGAGAAAGAGAGCGGGATCCAGGCGGCTAAGGAGGAAACCACCCGGGTTGAAGAACGGGCCAAGAAGGCTGAGGTCGACAGGGACCTTGCTCAGCACGAGCTGAGCTCCCTTAGGCATCAGGTCGCCGAAGCCGACCGGAACCTTACTGCGGCCGGGGAGGCACTGAGCGAGCTGAAGACTTCCCATGCACGTGCTGTCGGCATCGCCCGAGCTCAAGGCGCGGAATGGTTGGTGGGTTCGGCTGCGTTTCAGGACGCGGTGGCGGTGGCGTCTGCAAATGTAACCACGGAAATCTACAACGAGATCCGTGGGAAGGTGCTGCGACATCGCCTGGGACTTCCCGATTGGCGAGCTGGCGTTCTTTGACGGGGAGGACCTGGACGAGCAGATAAAGAGTCTCGCTTCCCTTGTCGACGCCACGGTGCGGTTGAGGTGGGACCTCAACGAGGAGGGAGTGCCTGTTTGGCCTCCTCAGGTCCTTGAGGACGGGGAGGATCCAACAGGGCTACCCTCCTTTGACGCATGGGTGGAGGGTGCTCCCGTAGCCCGCTGTGGTGCCAGTCAGCTCGCCCGTCAATGCAGCAATCCCTGAGCCCGCTGCCCGGTCTGATCCAGCTCGCTCTCCTGCGGCTGCTGCTGATGCATCCATACCCGTCGATCTGACGGATGACTAGGCTTAGGACTTTTTTCTTTTGTTCCTCTGTATTTTCTTTTGTTTACTTGTATTGATCAATGACGTTATATGTCATGTACTCCAACTGTAAATGGTCATTGATGAAATACAAATTGAATTTCCTTTTTGAACTTTCTGTGTTTCGATTTCTTTATGAAATGTCATTTACAACTGATCCAAGACGGCCTGAACGTTAATACATATACATTAACTGTAAAGTTAACCCTTAATTGTAAAATTTTCTAAGGTTATGTATGTTCCAAATGAATGGTAATGGACGACCTTGTAAATCTGCTAACTGGTAAGACCCAGGTCGTTGAATAGAAATGACCATATAAGGTCCTTCCCAATTAGGCGCGAGCTTGCCCATGTGAGGGTAAGCATTCGTCAATCCAGCTTTACGTAAAACCAGATCGCTGACTTGAAACTAGCGAGCTCGAACTCTTTTATTGTAAAATTTTGCCACCCGACTTTGATGCGCCATGTTTCTTATTCTAGACATCTCCCTGATCTCATCCAAGAAGTCTAGGTTTTCTCTCAATAGCTGCTCATTGCTGAGATCGTCATGCCAGCCTACTCGATCATAAGGTAATCCCACCTCCACTGGGATGACGGCCTCAGCTCCATAGGCCAGGCTAAATGGGGTTTCACCCGTGGCCGAGCTGGGTGTAGTACGACAAGACCAGAGCACTTTATTGAGCTCGTCGACCCAATTAGAATGTGTAGCTAAAACACGTGTCTTGAGGCCTCGCAAGACGATTTTATTGGCGGACTCGGCTTGGCCGTTAGATTGTGGAGTATATACCGATGTCAAGGCGAGCTCAATGCCATAGTCGTTACAAAACGATCTCAGTGCTGCTGCTCGGAACTGTGGCCCGTTGTCGGCGATGATCCGCTTAGGTATGCCGAACTTGCACACAGATAACCGAGCTGAGCTACACTACGTTTGCATACCGTTTATTTATGATCTAAGTCAGCAAAGAATACCTGCACAATATTGAATTGAACAAGAATTCTTCTATTTTCCTTTTTGTTGTCGTGGACAATGGTTTAGCTTCTACCCACTTAGTGAAGTAATCCACTGCAACGACTAGAAAGGTGCAACCCCCTTTGCCTTTGGTGAAGGGGCCGAGCAGGTCGACACCCCATTGAGCAAAGGGTCGGGGAGACGTGAGAGATGATAGCATTTCTCCTGTTTCAAGGAAGATATTTATGCTAAGTTTATAGACACACAGGAAGTTTGCATGATCTTTAGAACAGGCTCAGGTACCTGGCATGTGTATATCATCAGCATTGAACTGGCAGGTCGGACATTTTTTGACATAGTTCAGCGCGTCCTCGACCATAGTAGGCCAGTAATAACCATGTCTCAGGAGTTTCCGAGCTAAAGTCTTGCCACCTATGTGCGTGCCACATACTCCTTCGTGAACTTCCCTCACTGCGTATTCAGTTTCGTTAGGAGTAAGGCAGTGTAATAGGGGCATGGAGGCTGCTCGTTTGTAGAGCTGGTTATCTACCAGAGTGAAATGTGCCGCCCTGCGTCTAATCACTTTTGCAGCAGATTGGTCCTCAGGTAGCTCGCCACTTTGTAAATAATTTATGAGCAGGGTGGTCCAGCTCGGTGTAGAGGGGTCTGTACTTAGCAGTTGACACTCGACTGTGAAATCAGTGTAGCTCGGTGCGTCGAGTACCTCGACAATTGTTGATCTCTGAGGGTTAATGTCCTGCGAGGAGGCCAACTTTGACAGCTCGTCAGCTCTGTGGTTGTCTGCTCTTGGTATTTTATCAATTTGGAAAAGGGCAAATATCGATTTCAGTCTGTTGACCACAGAGGCATAACGACTGAGCTGGGGATCCCTGATGTCGCAGCTGCCTTTCACCTGACCCACTACAAGCTGTGAGTCGCTAAAAACCTGAATGTTTTGTACTTTCAGCTCGGACGCCAGCTTTAGCCCGTAAATGAGGGCTTCATATTCTGCTGCGTTATTGGTCGTCTGAAACTTAAACCTCAGCGCGTGCTCAGACTTGAAGCCATCTGGGCCCAGTAACACAGCCCCAGCACCCGACCCTTCAATATTAGCTGCTCCATCAACGTACAAAACCCAGACTGGGTGTTCAGGTGCTTTCTCTTTGTTAGTTATTGAGTTGCACTCCACCAAAAAGTCTGCTACGGCCTGGCCCTTTATGGTTGTGCGCGGTCGAAATTTCAGGTCATATTCACTCAGCTCGACGCTCCATCCAATAAGCCGACCAGAGAGTTCAGGTTTCTGCAATATTTTTCTCAATGGTAAATCGGTATAGACGACGATCTGATGAGACTGAAAATAAGCTCTCAGCTTACGAGCCGTGCAGACCAAAGCAAAAGCAGCCTTTTCTGCTAGCGGGTAGTTCTGCTCGGCACCTTGTAACACCTTGCTCACATAGCAGACAGGCTTCTGACTCTTATTCTCTTCCCTTAGTAGCACTGAACTCACCGCTTCTTCTGTGACCCCCAGATAAAGATATAAGCATTCCTCGTCGACAAGCTTGGACAACAGGGGTGCGGATGCCAAACACTGTTTGAGCTCGTCAAACACCAGTTGACACTCATCAATCCACTGAAAGTTTTTAGGCTCCCGCAGGGCTTTGAAGAACGGAAGGCACCTTTCTGTCGATCTGGCTATAAACCTGTGCAACGCAGCCACCCTACCTGTCAGACGCTGTACGTCTTTTACTGTCTTGGGAGGTTCCATCTGCTGAACTGCCTGTACTTTCTCTAGATTTACTTCGATCCCTTTCTTGGATACCACGTACCCCAGGAATTTCCCTGATTCCACAGCAAATGTGCATTTCAAGGGATTCAGTTTCATTTGAGCTCGACGCAAGTTTCGAAATGTTTCATCCAGGTCGTCAATGTGATCCTCAGCTCGAACGTTGGTGACTATCATATCATCTACATACACTTC